GGTCCCGCGGTTGTGGGCATCATATAAGAAGCAAATAGAAGAGAGCATGACTTCAGCTTCTTTCCAATTTACCATTATAATGAAGAGATGAGTTAGCGAAATCTTTTCTCCGACCTGATCTCTCTCTGAATGTCTCCTGCCAGTCATTCGTGAAGGACTACATGATCACCATTACGAGACTGCTGCTGGGCCTGGACACCGGTCCCGCGGTTGTGGGCATCATATAAGAAGCAAATAGAAGAGAGCATGACTTCAGCTTCTTTCCAATTTACCATTATAATGAAGAGATGAGTTAGCGAAATCTTTTCTCCGACCTGATCTCTCTCTGAATGTCTCCTGCCAGTCATTCGTGAAGGACTACATGATCACCATTACGAGACTGCTGCTGGGCCTGGACACCACGCCGGGTTCCGGCTACCTCTGTGCTGTAAGCGCTCTTGTTTCTGTCCCTTTCAAGCTGGGGTGGGATCCCACATGCATGGAGTTCCGCAGGTGAACGGTCACCCAACCGTCATGGGCAGGGACTGAACCTGGGACGTTCAGCCCCCAAACACAGGCCTCTTGAGCCATAGCTAAGAACTTCTCGTCACTGAGTAGCTGATTGTTGTACTCGCTGGGGCTGGCCTCTAGAGGAAGACAAAATCACACCAACGAGGCCAGCGGTTTGGTCCCTCCATGCAATAAGAGTTAACGGTAACTCCTTTCCCAAGAGAGTTCGATGGGAACCCCATAGACCAGGGTTTTCCAACCTGTGGGTCGCGACCCAAATATGGGTCACCATTACATTTCAAAAGGGTCACCAAGTGTCTCCCCAGGTGGCTCTGCCCCTCTTCTTCCCCCCGTATTTGAATTGCCCCGGGTCACCAAGTCTTCCTGAATTGTCAAATTGGGTCTCCATCTGGAAAAGGTTGGGAACCGCTGCTCTAGACCATCCCTCCCCTTCTTGTGGGATCGCTTCAAAGCTCTGAGTCTCAATATCCCTGAGCCTTGGAGAAGTTCATCAGAGGATCCAAGCTCTGCAGCTTTGGACCTTCTCGGGGCAGGATTTCCCTGTTGCCCCAGGGCCCCAGCAAAGAGACTTTTTCCCCCCTGTTGGTCAGATGAAAATCACGGAGGATGACCTGTGGATCCGGACCTACGGCCGTCTCTTCCAGAAGCTTTGCTCTTCCAGCGCAGAAATTCCCATTGGGATCTACAGAACCGAATCGCACATGTTCTCAACCTCCGAGGTAAGAAACCTGGGGGATCAGAAAACCTGACAGGCTGCAACCTTGATAGGAAAGATCCCTGCAGGGATCAGTCACTGGTGAACATGTAGAAATACACCCAACATGTGTGCTCTGGTGTCAGTCACTCTGAGCTTGTAGCTGGTAGGGAACGGCTTTGTAGCCAGGCACAATCACGTCTAGTCAGGCGAGGAGAAATCCCATCAGAGCAGCTGATGAAGGAACATTTCCGCTAACAAAGGACCAGCTGGGCCAGGCTGCTAGTGTTGCTACCCAAGCAGTGGAATTGAATGGGGAGGGAATAATAAACTGGGATGCACTAGCCCAGTGTGAAACTAGCTATTGGAAAGGTGGCTGGCTCGCAGGTCCCTTGATCGTCTCTTCTAACGTCTACATAGCCCAAGAGGATGTGGGGATACTCCTTTTGTTAAAAGACAAATAGGCCCCGGTGGCAGAGGTGTTTGTGTTTGTCCACCGCCTGGCACAAGGGGATCCTTGTGCCGAGAGGGCAGAATTAAGCACTACCAAAGACCCATGAAAAATCCTTTCATCGTCATTACTTAGGCCAGATCTACACTAGATCCAGCTGCTCGGCTTAAGGTCCACAACTCCAGCTGTGTAGAATACGTAGCTAGAGTCGGCTTACCTCAAGCTGAGCTTGGTGGTGTACCTGCAGCAGGAGGCTGATTGGAGCAGACACTCCCATTGGCTTCCCTTGTGAAAGCCACTGGCGGGGGGGGCCTCACTAGACTTGCTAAGTCAAATTCCGGAAGATCAATTGCGACAGGGGCCATCTTCATTTTAGTGTAGACAAGGCCTAAGTATTGGCACAGAAATAGGGCAGTCGGGGCTCCTCCAGCAAGGCAGGCAGCCATCTAGGAGAAGGAAAATTCCAAGTTTAAACCAAGACCATCAGGCCAGGCCAACTAGTTTGTAAAAGTTGTGCCAATCACACGTGCTGTGTGGTCTGCACTGGGTAACTGAGTAAGGCGTCGGGGAAGCAAGAACTGGTGTGGAAAGTAATGATTGGTGTTTGGAGCTGAGCAATCCTGGGTCCCTAGCCTTGTCCGTGGCTCACTGTGAGACCACGGACAGGCTAACGACCTTCCCTGCAGTGCTTTGAACTGGGGACGTGCTGGAGATGCCATGATTAATTATTATTGTTTGTTAGCTCTGGACGAGCTCACAGATCTTAAATAGTGGCTCCGAGCCGGGGGACTACAAAAAGCGAATCAGGCAGGGATGGAAACTCGGTGATCCACAGTCACGACTAACACATACTGCATCTTTACTTTCTTTTCTTTCCAATGCAGCCTCATGACATCCGAACTCAGGTGAGTGACCTTTGTATTGAGCTTGGTCAGGGGGTTGGTTTTCTTTAGCATTCGCTACCCTACTTCATGTTCAGCAAGGGGACGATCCAAATCCCTCTCGCGGTGCGGTGAGCAATTCGGTAGCAGCCAATGTGAGCAGATCGGGTTAGCTGGTTAGTGGCTCTGTCTGAATTTTGAAACATGTGTGATCTAAAATAGGAATGGAAAGCACACAGCTGAAGGTTGGCAATTAATTAAATCCAGGGCACTATACATGAACACAGGGGTTACATTTTACGTTAGACATATGCTGTTATATCTGTCGTGAGGATGAAAGGGAAACCATGGAAGTTCAGCTCTTTGTCTTAGGGATGCAAAATTGGTTAACTGGTTAAATGGGGCGGGATTGCCAGGTGGAGCAACCCCCACCCTGCCACAGCAGTTAACTGTAACCAGTAAGCCTCATTCGTTAACCATTAACATCCCTAGTTTGGCCATCTACATAGCCAAACATCAACAGGTGTGTTGTAAGCAAAACTCGTGAAGTCATTCTGCCGCTCTACTCTGCACTAGTTAGGCCTCAGCTGGAGTACTGTGTCCAGTTCTGGGCGCCACATTTCAAGAAAGATGTGGAGAAATTGGAAAGGGTATAGAGAAGAGCGACAAGAATGATTAAAGGTCTAGAGAACATGACCGATGAAGCCAGGCTTCATGAACTGGGCTTGTTTAGTTTGGAAAAAAGAAGATTAAGGGGGGACATGATAGCGGTTTTCAAATATCTAAAAGGGTGTCACAAGGAGGAAGGAGAAAATTTGTTCCTCTTGGTTTCTGAGGATAGGACAAGGAGTAATGGGCTTAAAGTGCAGCAAGGGAGGGTTAGATTGGACATTAGGAAAAAATTCCTAACTGTCAGGGTGGTCAAATATTGGAATAAATTGCCAAGGGAGGTGGTGGAATCTCCCTCTCTGGAGATATTTAAGAACAGGGTAGATAGACATCTGTCAGGGATGGTGTAGACGGAGCTTGGTCCTGCCTTGAGGGCGGGGGGCTGGACTCGATGACCTCTCGAGGTCCCTTCCAGTCCTATGATTCTATGATAGCCTCCAGGATTAGATGTGTTGGGGAGAGGCGGGATTCAGCATTAGAGAAACGGTCCCTTGGTGGGAATGTTGGAACATTCGCAGAGAGCAGGCAAATGAAATCTCACCATGGAACTGTGAGGCTCCGCCCAGGATCATGCAGGTTCCATGAGGTAGCACTTTCAACATGCATGTTTCATAACGTTGGGGAATGCTGATTGGTTGGCCGTTGGCAGAAAGATGTCCACCAAGGCGGGGTAGAACGGGGAGCTGATCACAACAGAGCCTTGTTCAAGCGAGTACCGGGTCCCACAAGGAGTTGGGCGCAGCTAACGCCAGTGGCGTCAGGCTCTGGCAACGGAAACGGAAAGGTGTTTTGTGCATCCCCTTATGTACTGCTGGGACTTCCAGTCGCAGATCTCAATCAATATCGAGGACTGTGAGGATACAAAAGACGTCAAGGAGCACTGGCACATCAAGACGAGCCATCACAGGAACTCCTGCTCGAGCGACCAGTCCGAGCACCCTTTGCTCCGGCGTAAAAGCATGCAGTGGGCACGCAGGCTGAGTCGGAAAGGCAATAAGCACACGAGCAAGACGGCGGAGTGGATCAGCCAGCAGCGACTGAGCCTGTACAGAAGGTCGGAGAGGCAAGAGCTCTCAGAGCTTGTCAAAAATCGAATGAAGCATCTGGGTTTACCGACCACTGGGTATGGTAAGTAGGATTCGTTCTTGCTGACGCTTAATGGCTTTTCCAGCGATGGGCCCCGTTCACAAGCTGATTATGTATCCGTATCTACTCGATCATAAGCCCATTCATTCATAAGCCCCCCCTCAAGTTATAGGGGAAAAAAAATTAAAAACACAATGACCCGTTCATAAGCCAACTCTATCTCTGCTGTTTGCAAACTTCTGGTCCCAGCACAGCAGCGTAAGCTGCTGGCACTTCGGAATATTTTGTTACACGAAGCATCTTCAGGCTGAGTCTCCGTTTCCGGCCAACAGAAGTGGCAGGAAGGGGCAGTCAGCATGTTGCTCAGCCCACACTGCTTCCCGCAGCTCCCATTGGCTGGGAACAGCAAACAGCAGCCAATGGCAGCTGACCCGATCGTAAGCCAACCCCCGTTCTTTACTGTGTGATTTTTTACCAAAAAAATTGGCTTATGATGGAGTATATCCAGTAAAGTAGCATCTAGCCAAACCAGACTCATTCGGGGTATAAAAAAAATCCAAAATGAAGCCTCCAACTTGTTCACAGCTCTGCATAGTACATTCAAATCAGCACCCCCATCAATCAGCAGACCTCTTACCTTGTAAATCCCAGAGGACGGAGGCGTGAAGGGGCTTGCTTTCAGACACTGGCCTTTGTGTCAGCTGGAACAAATAGTGGTGGACACATCTGTAATTATTTGCGGGTGCAATGGATGTGTAAGCACCTAACAAGGGAAATAGGGGTCTAAATGATCTAAATGATGGGTGCAATATTTCACTCACTAATTATTTGTGTCTGTAAAATTGTTGACCAGCCAAGGATAGACTGAAAATATAGGCCCTAACTCTCTCAGGAAGCTGACCTCAGTATCTATTTGTAATCGTTTTTAATGCGAGTATCTGAGACGTCTATCCCCCCCAGCAAAGCATGGAAGAAACGAACTCATAGGCTGATGCAAGATCCTGTTATGTTTTTTTAAATCATCAGCAAATTCTCTCCTAGAATTTTTTTTTCAGTAGCTGAAGAGCTAATGAGTGTAGGACTTAATAGCTACGTCTACACTGGCATGATTTTCCAAAAATGCTTTTAACGGAAAAGTTTTCCGTTAAAAGCATTTTCGGAAAAATCGCGTCTAGATTGGCAGGATGCTTTTCCACAAAAGCACTTTTTGCAGAAAAGCGTCCGTGGCCAATCTAAACACGGCTTTCCGCAAAAAAGCCCCGATTGCAATTTTCGCGATCTGGGCTTTTTTGCGGAAAACAGTACAATGCTGTCTACACTGGCCCTTTTGCGCAAAAGTCTTTCGGAAAAAGACTTTTGCCTGAGCGGGAGCAGAATAGTATTTCCGGAAAAGCACTGACGATTTTACATGAGATCGTCAGTGCTTTTTCGGAAATTCAAGCGGCCAGTGTAGACAGCTGGCAAGTTTTTCCGCAAAATCAGATGATTTTGCAGAAAAACTTGCCAGTCTAGACACAGCCAATAAATCTTCAATTATCTCACAAATCTGTCAGTAAAGCAAGTAATCTACAATATAATGAATTTGCATAATGTATGAATCTCTCAGTGCAATTATTATCTTTTTGAAAGGATTTTAAATGGATGTTAACCCAAGTGTGTGTGTCACCCTTTTTGGACAGTAATCTATCCCCTGGTTATGATGAAATCTGTAGCCCCATGAGCTCTTGCTTGTTTGTTTGTTTTGAAGCCATCCCATGCAGCCTGTTTGCCTCCATGCTAGGAAACCCCTCCCTTTCACGGTCGGGAGCTGGCTCCCTACACACGCTCCAAAGGGGCTCTAGCCTCGTAAACAATAACACAAGCCAAGAGCATTATTATCCTTCAGGCTACGATCGTTTTGCTCAGTGGGATTTCTGGAACTGGCCTGACCCTTGCAATCCGCTCCGGGAGGGATTTTAGAGTCCTGAACTCCATGTTGATTGCGTTGTTGTGACTTTTCAGACATGGGGAACAGAAGGGCAAGAACTTAGAAATACATTTCGGGAGGGTGCGGAAGAATTGGGAAGGAAACAAAGATTTGCCCAGTGCCTGCGCCAGTGCTGCAAGCTTAGTGAAGGAAGACCGGATTGTTCTGACGGAAGAGACGGGACGTTCTGTGGATGAATGGGGACCCATGGAGCATTTCTCCCATCTGTCCTTCTGCTCCCTGTTCTTGGGCAATGTTCCAATGGTACCGCGAGAGCGTTTCACTTCCCCGGTAGCTAATTGGAGCAAGACGAGGAGTAGGGCTGGATCCGTCGTCTCCAGTCCTGGAACTGACCACACTTTGGCACACTCTGAGCCTGTGCAGAGCCTCGTTCTAATCACCAGTCGGAGCAGAGCCTTACACAGTAAAGGCTGAGGGATGAGAATGGACAACCCCTAGCGCTATAGGGGTGTGTCTCCACAGCAAAGTGATTTCAGAATAACTATGCAGGCATCTACACAGCCATTGTGCTATTCCAAAATTATTTTGAAATAACAGGCGTCTTATTCCAACTTTTGTAAACCTCATTCCACGAGGAATAACGCCTCTTCCGACACAGCTATTTCAAAATAAGGCCAGTATAGACACTCCACTGCATCTATTTCAAAATAGCCCCTTCCCAGGGCCCTGCTAAGTTATTCCAACTGGGGCTCGTAAATCGAGACAGCACATCTACATTAGGGGAGCCGGCCTCGGACTAGTTTTGAGGCTTCCCTGCAGTGTAGACGTGCTATTTCGGAATAAGCTATTTCAGAATAACTATTCCGGACTAGCTTATTCCGAAATAACTGTGCATTGTAGACGTACCCCAGCTGTGCTCTGAATCGGAGGGCTATTAGAAACCCAGAGACAAATAGTGAAGCCTGCTTCACTATATGATAGAGGGGGAGCCAGGTTAGTCTGTAACTTTAAAACCAACGCACAGTACTGTAGCACCTTAGAAACTAACAATAGAATAGAATAGAATAGAATAGAATAGAATAGAATTATAAGATGCCGCAGGACTGTTCACCATGGAATGACATTGTGTTGAACAAGCTGCGTGGCTCCAGAGATGATAGCATCGCACTCTTCAAGCCCTGTCACCCAGAATGCTTCCATAACTGCAGCTAGAGCAGAGGTGGGAGACCTAAGGCCCAAGGGCCAGAGGTGGTCCCCAGCTTGCCTGGATTGGGCCCCCAGGGCTCAGGAACAGTGTTCCCGCTAAGATTTTCCATCCGTGAGCGGAGTGAGTTTTAGCTTGTGCACCAATATTGATGTCATGTGCGCAGGGGCCGCAGCTCTACTGCGGCCCGGCTCCAGTTGCGGCACATGAGGTAGTCCCCCATCACGTCGCCCCAGCCGCCAGAGCTTCGCCCCTGCCACGCTGACCCCTGTTGCCGCCAGGGATTCTCCCCAGCAGACCTGCTGCAGGCCGGGACTCCCACGCGCCGCCTGGGGCTGTGTGATGGCTGCACCCAAGCAGGGCCGTGGTGCTATTTTTAGCACCACCACCCTGGCCCAGTAGCAGCTGCGCCATGGCCCCGGCAGCAGTCCCAGCTCATGGCCTCCAGGAGCAGCTGGGGCCATGGCTGCGTGGCGGCTGCTAGGGCTGGGACTCCAGGTGGGTCTGAGGTGCTATTTTAGTATCACAGTCCAGGCTCAAGCTCCCAGCTGCTGTGTGCTGGCTGCCTCTATGTTCCTGGGGTGGGGCAGACACCTGCCACATGGCCCCGCGCAGGCAGGCACCTTAAAGGAAACCGCGATCAGGGCTCCTCCTCCTCCCTCCTGCCCCCCCCCTGCACACTGGGGAGCCCGTGCTGGTGCTCCACCCCCTGCCCAACTAATTTCCCCCTGCACACTGGGGAGCCCATGATGGTGCTCCACCACCTGCTGCCTCCTGCCCAACTAATTTTTCTGTGGGTCTGCCACCCCCTGACCCAAAAAAGGTTCCCTGCGCCTACTCTAGTCTACTAGCACGAGCATCACCAAGCCAGCTGGTTTGCCTACGGATAAAATCTCACAGCAGGTCATCTGCTGGTGGGCCATGGTGTTCATGGGAGAGGGGAGTTGGCAGTAAGAGAGGTTAATGATATCCAAGTTAGTTGCTCACGGACAACATGTCACTAACATGCATCACCACTAAGCCTCCAGAGCCCAGAATTAGACCTAGGAGCAATCTACCTTCTCCAGCACGGTTGTTTCCTGTAAGAACGGCAGAAAGAAGGATCCAATCCCGTAGCCAGCAAAGGCAGTTCATGGATTCCCGTTTTTGCCTGGAGTAAGTGTGAAGGATTACCTCACCACATTCTTCTCAGTCTGCTCCTCCCTCTCTCCCCTCCCCCCCATTAATATCCCAAGAGTTTCTGCTGCTTGTTCTGTTCAACTTGCCGCCTTTCTTTAGCCAGGGCTCCACGTCTGTAGCACAGCTGATGACACTGCCTCCTCGTCTTCGAGCAAATGCTCAAAGAATTACTGTCCTAGATTATGGTTGGCTGCTCTTCTAGAGCCTTCAAGGCAGATATAGAAGAACTTGCATGGATTTGCGATAACGATGCCCCCAGATGTTATCTGAGGGACTACGAGAGCATTTATCAAATAATGGAACAAGCAAACCAAAAGAACGTGTTTTCTCTTAATATTGGGCAAGTAGGGAATGTATCTCTCATACTGGAAGGAACGTTCCCGTAAAGCTACCGACGGGAAGACTGCCTTTTGGAGAGACACTATCCACGAGCAGACCCCATAGGCTCACGTGCCTGATGGTAGTTGTCCCTTGCACTCACGTTGGCCTTTTCTTAGCAAACGTCTAAGTTTTTGTGTGCTTGTATAGCTTACGCAACCCCTCTCCTCTTTGCTGGACATCCTGAATGTCCAGTTGGGTGAATATTTGTACACTTGGAAGAGGAAAATAGATCTCCTCACACAATCGGCACCATGAAACTCATGCCAGTTCACAGTGGGATGCTGCCTACTGCCCAGAATGTGGCTGAAATCCAAATAACGGGATGTGATATTTTTGATGATGGAGACAAGGACAAGCCCCTGAAGCTCGATACCCCACTTACGTATAGTGTACAACTACACCAACGCTTCAGTATCATAAGATGTAGGAGGGGCCCATGGTCAGTGCCCTCAGCAAAACCTAGGCCCAGCTGGATGCTAGGCCTCGTACTGCTGGAATGTTACATTTCCCGGCGGGGGGCGTTTGGGCAGCTATTACATTAGATGTTTAGAAAACGCTAGGCCTCATACTGCTGGAATGTTACATTTCCCGGTGGGGGGGCGTTTGGGCAGCTATTACATTAGATGTTTAGAAAACGTGGAGTGGGATAAAAGAGGAGGAAGAAATATGCCACAGTCGGGCTGTGAAGCCTAAGGCCCCTTTGGACCCAGTGATGTGTCAGTCAACCAGTCCGGTTTAGTACATTACCACTGCTTATCACCTGTTGGCGTCCAACTACCCATGCCTTCCTGGAGAGAAAGCGTGAGTCTGTCTGTCTTTACCCTCTCCTATTTTTTTTCGCTCCCATTTTATCATGAAAGCTCAGGCGCTCGTCTCTAGTACTTGCCAAATCACTGCTTGCTGATCTCTCTCTCTCTCTCTCTCTTTCTCTTTGTTTATGTCTGTACCTTTTTCTCTGTATGTTCTGTAGAGGATGTAGCAAATTTAACAGCCAGTGATGTGATGAATCGGGTAAACCTTGGATATTTGCAAGGTAATTCTTTTCCCCTGGGAGTCAAGAGTGACTTGCTGCACCCAGGATAACAAGACCATGCCAATTAAGTCTAACCTCTCCTACACACTCTTCCTTGCCTGTTTTCACCTTTGAGCCTTTGAAGCACTTATTTGTGGGAGCGGGTTGGGAAAGGACCATCTGTAATTTGCTAGTAAAGTTGCAGAGACACACAATCCCGGTGACTGTCTGCGAGTTGAAAGTGTTTGCGGAAATTACAGCCGTTAATTGCTTCTTTAAAAATCCCTCCTTGCAACTCGATTTAGGTCTGTTGAAACCAGTGGGTATTTGAGACCCAGGTTTTTTTTTCTTGGCAGACTAGATTGAGGATAAATTGTGTCCTCTTCGGGGCCTTCCAATGAATGGAGTTTTTTTTTTTCTTGGCAGACTAAATTGAGGATAAACTGTGTCCTCTTCGGGGCCTTCCAATGAATGGAACCGTAGAAATACAAGAATTTCATTATCTTCTTTTAAAATACGTGTCCTGTGATCAAAGTTTAGTAGCCTCGTATCATTTCTTTAAAGAATTTTCTATGGGGTTTTGTTGCTGTTTTATTTCCAAACTCCTCTGGGTGAACCCAGAGTGGAACAAAACCATTTATGTGTTCCTCCAGGTTAGCCCCACATCATCTATAAGTATCTGCCTTGATGCAAAGGAGCAAGGACCAGATTCTGTTACTGTCCACATTTTACATAGTCATCTGAGCACCATGTTTAGTCTCTAAGGCCCGGTCTACACTGAAGGGGAAGGTCGATCTAAGATACACAACTCCAGTGATGTTAATTACATCGCTGGAGTCGACGTATCTTAATTCCCCGTCCACACAGCAGGAGGTCAACGGGAGCAAACACCCCGGTCAGCTTCCTTACTCCTCGCAAGGAGCTGGAATACCCACCCTATGAGTTTGCTTTACACTCCGGTCAGCTTCCTTACTCCTTGCAAGGAGCTGGAATACCCACCCTATGAGTTTGCTTTAGCGTGTCTTCACTAGACCCACTAAATGGAACCCCCGAAGATCGACCGCAACAGCGTCAATCTTCCCCGTAGCATAGACGTGCCTTACAACGACAGTCGCATTCCAGCTCAATGTGATTTATTTGCAATTATCCCTAAGTCAAAACGCTCTTAGAATGAAGCTGAATTTCATACTGAGTTAAACATCAACTCAGGCCCTGCCTGGAGAGTGCTCATGCTGTATAGCTTTGTAGAAAACAGGTGAAAGACATTTAAAGAGAGGAAACTGTGGGAAGGGCTTTTAACTACAGATTACTGTCATCAAAGTCCATGTGATTTTGATGGCTACCACAAATCAAAATCTAAAGCAATTCTTTATGTAGTACTCTTCTGCCTAGACCCTTTAAAATCAAACCCAAAACTGATAAAAAAAAAAATTATTTCAAGTCAGGCCTTCTTTAGCCAACACGTAAGGTGAAAAGTTGGCATTTCCCTGTATAATATGTGCTTCATAAGAGGAATGGCCCCAACTGTGGCTTCATGGGAATCCCACTCAGTTACAGTATATTGCCAGCTAATCAGCTCACATTTGTTAATCCGTGTGTCGGTGATTTTTTTTTTTTTTTTTTTTTTTTGTGGCTTGGAGCTCCTTTGATTTATTATCCTATAAAGGGGTAGATTCCACAGCAGGGAGAGCGTTGCACATTCATACGTGCAACCTGATAAGCCAGGAGAAATAACAAAAAATACCCACAGAACATTGGTTACTACTATTTTTGAGCTCTTCCACCAATCTGAATTCCAGATTTATCTACGAGCTCATAGGTTACTAGCCAGAAGACCAAGTTTAAATCTGGACACACTCTAAATTGGGCTAGCAAGCATACACCTGCAAGGTGAGCAGGCTAGAATCTCTGATCTACAGATGATGCTATGGCAATATGCTGGGCGGGTTAGCAGTGCTTTGGTGTAATGCATGGGTTTGTGTCCCCGGAGCAGGAAAACCTCCCTGTCCCGAAGGTAACCCCGCTCCTTCCCCAGTCATCCGGCAAACTGTGCATTTGTAACGGCCAAGCTGTCAGAAGTTTGAAATGGCTCTCGCCCTGCGCTCATAGCATTCCTGTTCTTCTGCTCCCTTGTCACTGTAAGGCTAAGCATTGGGATGTGACCAGCTAAGGCCAAACAGTCTGTAAAAATTGATCAGTGGCTCATGGCTCTGGTAATCGGGACGTGAATCAGGATGGCACAAAAAAGCATCTTCCCCAACAGGAGTGCCCGATTCCTGACCTTTCTTCCTTCATCACCATGGAGATGGTCAGGAGGCCCCGAGGCCAGCAGGTAGCGGGAAGCCCGGCGAGGAAAGGCTGTCTCTCAGCATGCTCCGAAAGGGGCCAGGTGTGGGCACCGATGTGGGATCGAATCCCAGAGGTGGGGCCCCGGTCCGGAGAATGCGCTTTGGCTTCCACTGATTCTGCCCTCTGGAAAGATAGCTGAAGAGCTCCTTCTGTGGGTGGACATGCTGAGGCAGAGGGGCGCAGAGCGCTGGAGACCAGCCGAGTCTAAGAGGCTAGGTTTCATCCGGGAGCAAAGCGAATGGGCCACCACAGCAGAAACCGAAACTGAGGTGTAATCACGACAAGGAGCCTGGTGGCACTGCAAAGACTAAGACATTTCTGAGGGGATTCGAGAGGGAGCTTTCATGGGTTACAACTCACTTCCTCAGCTGCTGAAGAGAAAAAGAAAGACGAGGGGGGGGGGGGGGCCCAGGTGGGGGCTGGGGCGTGGACAGAGATGGGCGTGTGCCATGCGTGCTAATTAAAGTGGGGCCTTCCAGGTTGGGCCTAGCTCAGGGGCTTTGCCCCAGCCGTGAGCTAAAGGGCATAGGCAGCTGGGAGGCCCTTGAATGGAATGGAAGCTGCAGGCTCCTGCTGCCCGGATGAGGCCCTGCGTCGACGGCCATTTTAAGTAACGCCCTACGTGCGTCTCAGCTCTCTTCGGCTCCTCAGAGCCGCCTCTCTTGACGAGCTGAGGCAATAAAAGTGCAACCGTTTCCTGCTCCTGGGGGCAAGAGCAGGCATCGCCCAGGCTGGTGGTTTCTCTCAGCTCGCCGGGAGTGCGTGGGGTCAAAAAGACGACGCGATCCCAGGGCCCGCAGGGACATGGCGCTCCAGCGTGTTCCGGGAGCGTCATTGCAAGGAGTTGCTGAATGAGATGGGGGGATAGGCAGGTTGCCTGGGTCTGTTTCTGACAGGGGGAAAGACCGAGAAGGGTCAGGAAGGAGGGATTTGGTGTATATGACTGCAGTCCGGGGCCCCATTCGACCCCTCCGGCTTTGAGCTTTCATTAGCTCCATCTCCAATGTAGAGAACGTGAAAGGGCCGTTCTTTGCCTATAGCACAGTATTTATGTGGCTTCGGGCTCTACCAAAAGCTACGAGCGACGGGACAGAAATCGCTACCGTGTTTAAGCACTGAAACCAGTGTATAGATGAATCTCTGCGCTAGCGCCTGAGTTTTCACAGAGCTCTGGACACTAGCAGCTAATGCAGAGCTGGGCCGGATCCGGCCCACCAACCCACCAGATCCCCCCAGACCCCGCTGGCATGCAGCTGCCGCGGTTTAAAACACAGTCCCTGTGGCACACTGGGAAAAGGGGGAGGCCCAATCCTCAGCTCCTTTAGCCGGGAAAGAACTGGCCAATAGGAATTGACCCCAGCCAATCTCTCAGCTCCTATTGTCTGCAAACAGCCAGCCAATAGGAGCTGAGTGATTGGCCTGGGGGATGGGGGCAGCACAAGCCTCTTTCCCATCCCAGAGCTGAGAGCCATGTGGAAGGAACAAGCCTGCAGTGATGTGGTGCTGTAGCAGGCAGGGAGCCCCATCTGCCTTGAGGGTGCTGCAGGGCTGCTGGCTTAGGAAACCCTGCCCCTCCCGCACCCCAACTCCCTCCCCGGGTCCCATGCAAACCCTCTGCACCCCGCTGCCCCGGGTCACAACTCCCTCCCAGACCCTGTACCCCCTCCTATACTCCTCCCCCAAGCCAGAATCCTATCCGGCACCCAAACACCCTCCCAGGCCCTGCACCCCAATCCCCCACTCCAGGTCACCACTCAAACCCTCTGCAGTCTGCATCCTCTTTCCCCTTCTCCCAGGGGTCCCATGCAAACCCTCTGCACCCCGCTGCCCCGGGTCACAACTCCCTCCCAGACCCTGTACCCCCTCCTATACTCCTCCCCCAAGCCAGAATCCTATCCGGCACCCAAACACCCTCCCAGGCCCTGCACCCCAATCCCCCACTCCAGGTCACCACTCAAACCCTCTGCAGTCTGCATCCTCTTTCCCCTTCTCCCAGGTCACAAACTCCCTCCCAGACTTTGGTACCCTCTCCACTGCGAAGTGCGGCCCTTGACCACTTTCCAAAATCTTGGAGTGGCTCCCCCCACCAAAAATTACTGCCCACCCCTGAGCTAACGCATGACTGGCGCGACCTAGCTGGTTTTCCAGACGCCATTGGAATGATGCGTTTTGCCGCCATATTGATTTGGAAGCCACTGATGCCTGTCACCACATCCACGCCCAGGGCATCAGCGGGCGCCAGACCTAGACTCTGCAACCCCCCCTTTTCCCCGCGTCCCAGGAGGGGCCAAGTGCGCGCCAGTTGCACACGTAGTTCTGAGCCGTACTTCCGAGCGGAATAGCCGAGCCCAGGCCGCTGAGAGCAGATGTGTGAGGAGATTGGCTCACCTGCGCTTAAAGTCAAACATGAGCTATCTGGTGGGGTCACGCCTCTTAGCACACACAGTTGGCCACTTGCGCAGGCCAATCAGTTTCGTATTTTGCTTGACTTGCTTGTGCCCAGCGCTTGGCCTGTTACGTTATAAACCAGTTTTTCGGGACTCTTTCGGGGCACAGCTACACTACGCGGAACATGATGCGATCGATCTCCTTGGGGGTTGATTTAGCAGGATAGACCCATTAGAGTGAACTCAGAGGGCACCCCCATTGGTGCCGGTACTCCTGCTTCTTGTGCCACATAAAGGAAGCTGACAGGAGTGTTTCCTCCAATCGGCTTCCTGCTGTATGGACGGCGCAGAAATGCGATGTAAGACACCTGGACCCCCAGCTGCGTAATTTACATAGCTGGAGCTGCATATCTTACTTCGCCCTTCCGATGTAGAGTAGACCAGGCCCACTGGAGAACACATTTTAAAGACACAATTAATTATATCATACTAATCAAAACCAGGGGAGCCGCAACAAGAATCGAAGACTTTACGGGGGATTCAGGCATCGAAGAAGAACCAGTAAAGCAAAGGAGACAAATGCATGAGATAACAGCTGTCTGTGGCACCACCGAACACGCTAAGATAAAAACCTTGACTAGGATTTCCAAACGTGGGCAAAAAATCAGCACAATCGATGATGATTTCTGGGCTGATGGAGGATTTCAGATTTAGAGACAAAGTCCCAGTGAAAAGCCTTATAGTGATTTCATGAAGATTAGAGACCAAGTCCCAGTGAAAAGCCTTATAGTGATTTCATGTACCTGTCGTCATGCTGCCCTGGACTTACTGCTTTACTAACCCGTCGTCACATTTTTTCCATCCTGTACATAATGCGTCTTGTCCGTGAATGTCTGAAAACCATTAATTGTTTGACAGCTCTTATTCCCATTTACGCTGGCGGTGCTACACGCTTGTGAATAGGATTTCCTTGACAGCTGAGCAGATGCTCTTGCATCCCTTTCTCTCGTGGTCTTGTTGCTCAGTTGTAACAACAAAAGGCAGAGCTACCCTTTGGCACGCTGCTGCTTATTCTGTGCAACACAAACATGCTGTAAATAGACCCTGCAAATAAATAGACCCCCTCCAGTTATCTTGCCGTCACCATCCATAAGGTTAGTCCCAGGGAATGGGTTTCCAATTTATGCGATGCATGTGTTGATGGTCATGACTATTTCCTGATGAATTTGCTAGTAACGCGGAGCCTTGCTACTGAATTCTGGCAGTGCGAGTCCCTAACCGTCCTACGGTTCTGAAATGACGCTGAGTTGTCTTTGGGTAGACTGACAAATAAACCCTGTAAATAAATCCTGCTGCAGGGCTAAGAGTAAAGGGGCAAAACTGAGCATGTGGCAAAAACGCAACCCCCTGAGGAGTGTTCTAGAGGCACCGAACAGGGTTTTGGAGCATGGACGGTGCCCATAGTCATGTCACGTTTCTCTGGGCATTAAAACAAGGTAAGAGCAGTTAGCGTCGCAGAATCCTAGGGCTGAGAGAGACCTCAGGCGTCATCAAGTCCAGGACCAACCCAACTCAATCATCCCAGCCAGGGTTTGTCAAGCCACTTTAGGGATGGAGATTCCCCCCTAGGGAACCCAGCCCGGTGCTTCCCCACCCTCCTAGGGAAATAGTTTTTCCTAATCTCCAACCTGGACCTCCCCCACTTCAACTTGAGCCCATTGCTCCTTGTTCTGCCATCTGCCCCCACTGAGAACAGCCTCTCTCCATCCTCTTTGGAATCTCCCTTCAGGAAGTTGAAGGCTGATACCAAATCCCCCCTCACTCTTCTCCTCTGCGGACTGAACAAGCCCAACTCCCTCAGCCTCTCCTCATAGGTCATGTGCTCCAGCCCCCTCATCATTTTGGTTGCCCTCCGCTGGACCCGCTCCAATCCCTTCTAGAATGGGGGAGGGGTCAGAACGGGTCTTTCCTTAAAGCCGCCACATGGCCTGAGAGGGGCATTAAACACTGTCCAGCATGGCAGGACCTGAGCTGCGTGGCTGCCAGCCATCGGGTTCAGAGCCGCACATGCGCTCAAGTTGCCTGAGGCTTTGAAAAAGCGACGGCGGAATGTTCCGGCACCAGCCTCACCGTTCCAGAAGGAGCCCAGCGTAGGGCTTCATGCGGGGCTCTCTAATAGACCTGAAAGAGCTCGGCAGGGTCGCTGTGTTAGGCTGTCAACAGGAGGTTCGTGGCATGCCTGGGACAGCAGCCGACGGCTCCCTGACAGTAGGCAGCTGGGGGCGTGCATGGAGGCAGCATGCTCCGGAGTGGAGCCCAGGGAAAAGGTGGCCCCAGACAGGCTGTGTGGCAGGTTGCTGAGAAGCTCTACAAGAGCGACAATGGGGGGGGGTAATAACTTTTACTGGGCCAACTTCCATTGGTGGAAGATGCTCTCTGGCTTCAGATCTGTGTGGCTGGCAGCTTGGACTAACTGTCCGTGTAGATACCCAAGGGTTCCAGTGCTTGGACGAGGGATGCTGACGTACATGGATTTTTGTAAACAGGAAACCGCTGAAATGTTCAGTGGCTGCACATTGGGTGGGGCAGGCCGGAGTCCGTGCTGGCAGGGAGCCGGCTCTTCGGGAGCACCGGCTCCCGGCTCCTTCCCCAGCGCTGTTGCCTCTAATACAGAGGCAGCAGCGCTTGGAGGCAGGTGGTTCTATGGGGGCCGGATTTTAAGCCAGCTCCCTTCAAGCACCAGCTCCCGCCTGCCCCCCGTCTCGGCGGGAGGCGCCTCGGTAAAAGCCCGTGCGGCAGCGTGGGGGCTGGGGAGTCAGACTGGCAGGAGACGCCTTTCAAGCTGGCGCCCCACGAGCACCCGCTCTCCCCCCCCCCAACCTAAGTCTGCTACGGAGGCAGCAAGGCTGGGTGTGAGTGTAACGGTGCGGGGTCACCGATGAGCCCGCGGTTAATCGTGTTCACGAGCACCCGTTAACAGCCCTACCTTGGGCAGCTAGCAGCACGCTCCACCCCCTTGTGCCAGCCCTGGTGTGAGCATGCACGGTCAAGCAGCGCTAGCAGGGGTGTGGCGAAGAGAGGGAGCCAGGACGCCGCACTGTGAGTGCTCAGCGGGGGGGGGGCATAACCCAGCCCCATCCAGTAGCAAGCCCCGAGTGAGAGGCCTTCAGTGATCAGCTTGGGGCCAATTCTGAGGTAAATCCAGGCTCTACGGGCAGGACCTTGATTGTCTCGGGAGAGAACCAGTGCGCTGAGGAGTCAGTGAGGGCCGGGCGCACCCCTTGTAAACCAGCCAGGGCACCCTCCGGCCTCCCCCGTTAACCTCCTGCCTCAGCAGAGGGAAGGGAAGCGTTTCACCTCCCGCTGCCCCTTGCCAGCTACCCTACAGTGGGGTTCAACTGCTCTTCCCAACGAATGCCTTATGGACGGCACATGCAGCATGATGTGCCTCCCTTCTCCCCCCCCCCACACACACTTTCGTGGGGCCATGTCTGAGTGAGTCCGGGACTTGGCCAGCAGGAGGGGAAAAGCAAACTCAGCTGAGCCCGTCCGGCCGCTGGTTTTTTGGGGCTGCGTTCGTGTGGAGAGCTAGTGTCAGGTGCGACTGACCCACGAAGGCCAGGGAGCATGTACGCCAGAGAGAGCCACGAGCCCCCATGCCCTGCAGCAGGATGTGTCATAGGGCTTCAGGCACTAACCGGGCCGTGTGGGTTTTCGAGCGCCCATTTGCACATAGTCCTTAGCACATCTGCTGCTGGCCTTGTAATGCCGCGAGGCCAGTAGCCCCCTGCGTTGGGATTGAGTCTACCGCGTGTTCACTGACTAGCCAGCCGCGCAGTCCCTGCGCTCGCGCCAGCCACCTGCGTGACGGCTCCCTTTCCCCCTTGCAGATGAAATGAATGACCATCAGAACACCTTGTCCTATGTGCTGATTAACCCACCTCCAGACACGCGCTTGGAACTCAACGACATAGTGTACGTATGACCGTTACCCGGCACGTTGGCAGGGCAACGCCAAAAATGGCCCTGAATAGCGATGGTGTGAGATTTTTGATTGACACCTGCGCTGAGGACCCTGCCTGGCAATTTAGCCTAATGAAGCTCTGAGGGATTAAATTTCCTTGGAAGAGCTGAGGATGGTCCCTGGCACACCTCGACTTTGTAATAACCTGGCTGTGTACCTACCCCGGTCTCTCTCCACACGCCCCACCCCCAGCCAACGGGCTGTAGTCACCGGTTTCCTATTCAGGGTGAAAAAAACCCGAACATAATGATCTTAAAGGCTGTTACACTGGCATGAACAATCCAACAACGCAAAACACCCTGGCTCCGGGCCACTGACTTTAAAAAGGGACGTGGTTTTCTCCTGGGCTAATGGCTGTCACATTACCACAGGACTCCTGGGCAGTGGGTGACGCTT